GAATTACTCTAGACTGAATGTTTGTGTTCCTCAAATTCATACGTCGAAGCCTAACTTCCAGTGGTGGTATTCAGAGATGGTACCTTTGGGAGGTGATCCGGTCGTGAAGGTGGAGCCTCATGAACAGGATGACTGCCCTTATAAAAAAAAAGGGGACCCCAGGGAGCTCCCTCACCCCTTCTGCCACGTGAGAACGCAGCAAGAAAACACCATCTAAGAACCAGGAAGCCAGCCCTCACCAAACACCAAATCCACCAGGGCCTTGATCTCCTCAGCCTCCAGCACCCTGAGAACTGATTGATGTTTAAACCCATTTATGCCTGAAGTTGCAATTTTTTGAATTTTTGCTATCAGACCTTGGCAATTACTTTGAGCAGTAGGATATAAATAGCTCCCACATGCTTAGCGTTCCGATAATGGAACGCTAGGCATAAATGGGTTTAAGCTGCCCAGTCTGTGGAATTTTGTTGTGGCAGCCAGGGCAGCCTATGAGGGAGTGGCTGGCTATGTCCTTGAGAACTGTTTCTTTACTGTTTCTCTCTTTCTTCCTTTCTTTCTCTCTTTCTTTTCTTTCTTTCATCGCTTTCCTTTCCTTCTTTCATCTTTCTTCCTTTTTTTCTTTCTGTTTTTTTTTTTTGATGGACTATCACTCTGTCACCCAGATTGGAGTGCAATAGTGTGATCTTGGCTCACTGCAACCTCTGACTCTTGGGTTCAAGTGATTCTTCTGCCTCAGCCTCCCAAGTAGCTGGGATTACAGGTGCCTGCCACCACTCCTGGCTAAATTTTTGTATTTTTAGTAGAGATGGGGTTTCGCCATGTTGCCTAGGTTGGTCTCAAACTCCTGGTCCCAGGTAATCCGCCCGTCTCAACCTCCCAAAGTGCTGGGATTACAGGCATGAGCCACCATGCCTGGCTTTACATTTTCTTTCTTGCTGGTGACTTTTACCCTCCTGTTGGCATTGAGATGGCCACACTAGTTCCAGAAGCTAACCAATGAAAAAAACTTGTGCTTTGGACCCAGGGCCTTTTTCCTGGCAGTCTCTCAGCAGACACCCTCCTGTCTCCCAGGCCTGTGCTGGGTCACATGAAGGATCCTAAATGAACCTCAGACCCTCAGACCACAAGGCAGCCTTGCAGCAAGGGGGCGGCTTCCCTGAGGCACTGAGTATGAGATGGGTACCACCACAAAGTCAAGGTTCTGTTAGGGAGGAAGAAGGTCCTCAGAGTGGGATACTGGAGTTTGAGATTTTTGAGGTGAAGGAGTTCAAAATGTGAGCAAGAGCCAAGATCACGCCATTGTACTCCAGCCTGGGCAATAGGAGTGAAACTCCGTCTCAAAAAAAAAAAAAAAAAAAAAAAAAGGGCCAGGCGCAGTGGCTCACGCCTGTAATCCCAGCTTTGGGAGGCCAAGGTGAGCGGATCACCTGAGGTCAGGAGTTCAAGACCATCCTGGCCAACATGGTGAAACTCCCTCTCTACTAAAAATATAAAAATTAGCTGTGCGTGGTGTTGGGCACCTGTAATCCCCGCTACTCAGGAGGCTGAGGCAGAGAATCACTTGAACCCGGGAGCTGGAGGTTGCAGTGAGCCGAGATCGTGCCACTGCACTCCAGCCTGGGTGACAGAATGAGGCTCCATCTTAAAAAAAAAAAAAAAAAAAAAAAAAAGATAGGCCCAGGGACCACAGGCCTCTGGGTAGGTCATTCTTGAGGATATTGACATCACCCAGAATTATGGCACAAGGTGGCAAGGGCATGGAGAGGGACACAGCAAGCCAACCTGCCAGACCCTGTAAGTGGAGGGGTGCTGGAGAGGAGCAGGTGACAGACAAAGAGGAAAGGGGGTGGGATGTGCTTCTTTTCCTTCTCCTTGAACCCTGTTGACTATAAGCACCTTAATTCTGAGCAGGTTTCATCCTACTGCTCTGGGCAGGTGCCCATGTCTTTCCTATCTAGGGCAACAGCTTCTTGCCTGGCCTCCCTGCCTGCCCCTACTCCCTCTACTCCCTGGTTTCCAAGCTTCACTGCATTCCGGAATCCCCAGGGAGCTTCTCAAAGCCTAATGCCCAGGCCACACTGCAGTCCAGTTGAAGGAAAGTCCCTATGGCTGCTTCCAAGCACCAGCACTTGCCAGGACTCCTCAGGTTACCCATTATTACGCAGCCTGGGTTGGAACGACACCTCTGCCTGTCCCCACACTGCCCATTCTCTTCTCAAAAGCCAGGTGGAAGTGGTACAGTTCTTTTAGAATTTCTCTGGCAGGTCTTCTTGTTTTTACTGGAAAATCCTCCAAAGGAAAAAACAATAAAAAGGCAGTAGGAACAAGTCATTCCCATTCATTCAAAAAACAGTTGTCTGGCTAGCACCGTGGCTGTCACCTGTAGTCCCAGCACTTTGGGAGGCCAAGGCAGAAGAACTGCTTGAGCCCAGGAGTTCAAGGCCAGCCTGGGCAACATAGCAAGACCCTGTCTCTACAATATATTTGGTTTTTATTAACCGGGCATAGTGCCTGTGGTCTCAGCTACTTGGGAGGCTGAGGAGGGAGGATCACTTGAGGCCTGGAGGTTGAGGCTGCAGTGAGCTATGATCACACCACTGCACTCCAGCCTGGGTGACAGAGTGAGACCCTGTCTCTCTCTCTTTTTTTTTTTTTTGAGACAGAGTCTCGCTGCGTCACCCAGGCTGGAGTGCAGTGGCGTGATCTTGGCTCACTGCAACCTCCGCCTTCCGGGTTCAAGTGATTCTCGTGCCTCAGCCTCCCGAGTAGCTGGGATTACAGTCATGCACCACCACATCCGGCCAATTTTTGTATTTTTAGTAGGAGACGGGGTTTTACCATGTTGGCCAGGCTGGTCTCAAACTCCTGACCTCAAGTGATCCTCCCTCCTCGGCCTCCCAAAGTGTTGGGATTATAAGCATGAGCCACCACATCCGGCTAACCCTGCCTCTTAAAAAGAGAAAAAAGGCCAGGCATGGTGGCTCACGCCTGTAATGCCAGGCCGAGGAGGGTGGATCAGGAGGTCAGGAGTGTGAGACCAGCCTGACCAACATGGTGAAACCCTGTCTCTACCAAAAATACAAAAATTAGCCTGGCGTGGTGGTGCTTGCCTGTAATCCCAGCTACTCGGGAGGCTGAGGCAAGAGAATCGCTTGCACCCTGGAGGCGGAGATTGCAGTGACCCCAGATTGTGCCATTGCACTCCAGCCTGGGTGACAGAGTGAGACTCTGTCTCAAAAAAAAAAAAAAAAAAAAAGAAAGAAAGAAAAAAGAAAAGAAAATAAAAAAGAAAAAAAGTTTTCAAGTCCCTAATATTTTCCAGGCACTGGGAATACAAAGATGAAAAATACATGAGTGTCCCCCACAACAAAGTCGAACAAAGACACTTCCTCAGGGGACAGAAGTATACACAGCATTGTGATAGGTGCTATGGCAGAGAACAGCTCCATGGCATCCAGTAGTCACCTCTAAACCCAAGGTGGGGAGGAGGCCAGAAGCCTTCCCAGAAAGTAGGCCCTTTCCAGCTTCGCCATCTTCATCTCCACCTGACTTTGGCCTCCCATAGACAGCCGAGCCTACTTCCTGGATCTAGCTTGAGTTAAACGGTTTTGCCTCACAAATCTCAAATTCTCAAATCTGTCTGAGCTCACCATGAATTATAAAGCCTTTTATAATTCATGTGACAACTCGTGCCATGAGCTGTGGCTCCTGTCTCCCTTTCTGGCCTCAACTCTTGCCATTTGCCACGGGACCCTACGGTCCAGCCTCCGGCTTCTGGGCCTTGTGTATTCTGCTCTCCTCCCAGGAAGATACCTCCAGGACCAGCACGGAGCAGGGCTCTTTGGGTGGAGGAAACTGAACCAGTGCCTGGGATGAAGAAGGCGAGGACGTGTGCAGGAATCACCATAGCTCAGGTAGCCTGAGGCCAGTGCACCTAGGACGGGGAGGGGTCTCCTTTAGTGTCAGCATCTCCCGGAGAGCTGTCCCCACGGCCACAGACGTCCCCGGGGCGCCAGGCCCTGCTCTAAGCTGGGACTCAGCCGACTCAGACAAGGGCCCTGTCCTCTCGCCCCATCTCATCCTGGAGAAGAGTACCCTCTTCTCAGAACAAGCATGTCACTTCCTTGCACTTTAACTTCGTTTGCGGCAGTGCAGGGTACTTTACAAAGCTATAAAGGAGTTTATCCTGGTGCAAAGGGAGACTCTTTTTCCTTACAGGATTTGCTTTAGAAAACTTGTAATCACAAATTCTTTTTGAGATATACGTAAATTTTTTTAAAGCTAAATATTTCCCCCCAGTTTTACAACTCAAGAATGTATTTTCTCAAGGACTTGAGAGTCCTCTCTGAAATGTCATCCCCGTCTCCCAGTTCCGTGGGAGGGTAGGAGTCCAGCTACCAGAGAACCCCTGGCTTCAAATTGTAAACCTACCTCCTGTAGTAAATATATGAAAAATTCATTTTTCCTTTGGATAAAGGCAATTAGCAAACGCAAAGGGCCACTGCATTTACTAATGGCCACTCCATCATCAGGCGAATTTAAGATGAATTCTGTGACAAATGGTGCAGTGGAGTCCCCTCCCCGGAGGGCTGTCTCGTTTACCTCGGGAGCATGTGTGGGGTAGGTGGCATCCTCCCGGCTGTTTGATACAGGCTGAGATTTCTGTCATTGCAGCCTATTTGCGGATTGCTTGTGATGCACATCACATGCTGGTTTAATGTTTGTTCAAGACCCAAACTGCAGTGGAGTTTTGAGGGTTGACAGGTTCGTTTTTCATCACACGTCCCCGACAGTAGAAACCGGCGTAGCTGGACAGGGCCTTGGGGGAATTTGGACAGTGGGAATAAAGACGAGCGTCGCCTCCTACGCCCGCCGCATCTGCAGCAAGCGCGCACCGTGAACCTCCGGGTAGCAGCGCAGATCTCGGGCTGCGCCACAGCCGCGCCCGCAGAGCTATTTTTAGCCGCCGCAGCCTGCCCGGCCACCAGACTGGGTGGGCGGCACCCAAGAGCGCCCCGCCCATCGAGGCCCCGCCCACTCCGCGCCGGGAGCTGCGCGGGCCGGAGCACCCGGCCGGGATCCCAGAGCCCGCGCACTGCGCCGGCGGCAATGAAGATCTGGAGCTCGGAGCACGTGTTCGGGTGAGGCCTGGCTGAAGGCCGCAGTGGGGCCGCCCGGACGCCGGCTCCTGCTCCCGAGCCCGGCTGGAGCGGTCCGGGAAAGGCCGGACCTCACAGCGGGCCTCGCGGAGTCCCCAGCCCTGCGCCGGCCGTTCCCAGACCGCGACCTCGGCGTCCCGGAGAGGGGCACGCCCTTCCCCGGGACCGCGGTCTGGGCGAGGCGCTGCGCCCGGTCCGGCCTCTCCCCCGGCGTGCGCAGGGGCTTGGCTGCAGGCAGAGAGGCCCCGCTGGTGGTCCACGACCAGGGCGGGGGCAGCCGGAGCGGGGCGGCCGGAGCGGGGACGGCGGGGGCTGGGGCGGCCGGAGGCGGGGGAGGGGGCGGGGGCCTGGGGCTCGCTGCTCTCCTTTGGGTCGGGAGCCGGGCAGGGGAGAGGCCTGCAAGCTGGCGCCTTTGCTGAGATTGTCATAAATCTTCTGCGCGTTTCACTGAGGGCCCACGGCGGGTTGTGAGCTCTGGAGAAAGCTGAAGGGAAAGAAGGCATTTGGGGGGCCCTGGCCCTGAACTCACTTTTAGGCACGGAAGGCCTCCAAGCCAGCGTGGAAAACCCCGAACTTTAAAAGTGCCCCCCCGGCACACGGATGGAAGTAGAGGTCATTATCTTAAGTGAAGCCAGGCCCAGAAAGACAAGTATCGTGTGTTCTCACTCCTAAGTGGGTGCTTAAGAATATGTTCACATGGATGTAGAGAGTGAACATCAGACGATGGAGACTCTGAAGGGTGAGCGGGTGGGAACAGGGAGGATAATGAGAAATTGGTTAATGGGTGCAAGGCACCTTCCCGGCTAATGCATACCCTAGGAGCGCTGACTTGATTACTACGAAATCTATGCATGTAACGAAATTGCACGTATACTCCATAAAATTGTGCAAATAAAAAGAAAAAAAAAGTGCCCTCCTAACCTAAGTGGTATCTTAAGTCAGTGATCTATGACACACTGAAATTATTCTTTAATATTTATTTACAGCAATAAAGATTTTTAAATTATCTGATCTCACTTAAGCATTAAGCATTTTATTTTTTGGGGAAAGAAAGTACTGCGTGGAAGGAAATTGTCATCCTTTGACTATTTTTTTATTTTTTTGAGACAGTCTCGCTCTGTCACCCAGGCTGGAGGGTTTTTTTTTTTTTTGGAAACAAGAGTCTTGCTCTGTAACCCAGGCTGGAGTGCAGTGGCGCGATCTTGGCTCACTGTAACCTCCCCATCTCGGGTTCAAGTGATTTTCCTTCCTCAGACTCCTAAGTAGCAGGGACTACAGGCATGGGCCATTACGCCTGGCTAATTTTTGTATTTTTAGTAGAGATGGGGTTTTGCCATGTTGGCCAGGCTGGTCTCGAACTCCTGACCTCAGGTGATCCACCCACCCCGGCCTCCCAAAGTGCTGGGATTATAGGTGTGAGCCACTGTGCCTGGCCTGACTTTAAACATGTAAAATTATTATAAAAATATATCAAGTGGTTTCAAAACCTCTGAAATTATTTTTCATGAAGTCTTTAGACTTGATGGGATCTACTTTTTTGTATGGCCTGTAGTGTTTCTCAAGTAGGGTTCCTTCAGCAACAAGGATGGGGCATCACTGAGCCGTCTGGATGCCGTGGACACTTAAGTCGTTGCATACCAGGGGTGCCCAAGCGGTTGGGGCTCAGTTTTCTCATGGAATGGCTGGGGTCTGCCCTAGAGGTTTGTTAACTGTCTGTGGACAAGCACAAATGAATAGCCAGCTGTGAAAAATCACAGTTGATGCTTTTGAAAATTGTTGCAGCTGCTAACTCCCATTTATTTTTTAAGGTTTACTGAAGTACACTTTACATACCATAAAATTATACACATTTTAAGTGTATAATTCATTAAGTTTGACTAAGTGAGACCATCACACAGTCCTGTCTTGGAACACTTCCATCCTCCTACAGAGGTGCCCCATGGGCATTAGCTTCCCATTTTACCCCATTTTCACCCCTGCCCCAGGCAACCAGGAATCTCTTTTCTGTTTTATGAATTTGCCTTGTTGGGACGTTGCATGTAAATGTCATCCTGCAATATGGGGTGTTTTATGTCTGGCTGCTTTCATTTCCCATGATCTTGAGGCTCACCATGTGGTAGAGTGTCAGTATTTCATTTCTCCCATCATTCATTTTGTATTCCTGGCACCCCGCCAGGGCCTGGTGCTTAGCAGGTACTCAGAAGGGGTGAGGAATCTCACACGGAGATCAGATGCCCTTCCAGGACGGGGGCAGCTATCCACCAAAGGAATCCTGGTCATCCCTGGAGCTGCTGTGGACTAGGTGCTAATTCTCTGCCATAGACTTTTGAACTTAAAAGCAAAGGGCTGTAATGAAGCCTGACAAATGTGGAATGTGGCTGGCTGTGGATGCTGTCATTGGCCTGTGGCTGGACGGGTTATGAATGATGTGGTACCATGAGGTGGCATAGCATCCAAATGACAGTACAAATTGGAAGTCTGGCTTCCTGGCTGGACTTACTGTGTAGCTTTCCCCTTGTTTCATCCATTGAAATCCCTGATTTTTTTTCCTTTGAGGATTATAGACCTTTCTTTTTCTTTCTATATTTAAAAAAAAATGTTTGTTTTACTGTTAGGTGAACATTTGATTGGAAATTAATAAATTTCCTTTTTTTTTTCCCTTTTTTTTTTTGAGGCAGAATCTTGCCCTGTCACCCAGACTGGAATGCAGTGATACGATCTTGGCTCACCGCAACCTCTGCCTCTCGGGTTCAAGCTATTCTTGTGCTTCAGCTTCCCAAGTAGCTGGGACCACAGGCGGGTGCCGCCACGCCGGGTGAATTTTTTGTATTTTTAGTAGAAACGGGGTTTCACCATATTGGCCAGCCTAGTCTTGAACTCCTGACCTCAAGTGATCCACCCACCTTGGCCTCCTGAAGTGCTGGGATTACAGTACTTTTGAAATGAAGACATAATTAGGCACACTTTTGATCTTACCAAGTTTTCTTCCTGTGTCCACGTGGAGAAGAAACTCTGCAGGCCCTGAGATCACTCACAGCAGACAGCAGTGTAAATACCCGGACAAAAGCAGCCTGGGGAAAGCCCATGGATTAACATGTGTGTTACCTAGACAGGGGAGAAAGTAGTTTAAATATAATTAAAAACATACGACCAAAGTATAGAAAGGGACATTTAAACATGAACAGGGTTTAAAATGTCTTCCTCCCTTGCTGGGCGCGGTGGCTCACGCCTGTAATCCCAGCACTTTGTGAGGCCGAGGCGGGTCGATCACCTGAGGTCAAGAGTTTGAGACCAGCCTTAACATGGAGAAGCCTATAGGTCTCCCGAGTAGCTGGGATTACAAGCACCTGCTACCACGCCCAGCTAATTTTTATATTTTTAGTAGAGACAGGGTTTCACCATTTTGGCCAGGCTGGTCTCAAACTCCTGACCTCAAGTGATCCACCCACCTGGGCCTCCCAAAGTGTTGGGATTACAGGCGTGAGCCACCACGCCTAGCCCTATTGTTTTTCGAAAATCCATCCGTATGAGATGTCTGTAGATGCCTATGTAAATATATGTAGATATAGATTTTAATAGCTGTATGAATGTGCCACCATTTATTCTTTTTTTTATTGGAGGACATTAAGTTTTCCCCTTATTACAGATCGAACTGCAGTGACCAGCCCTGTGTCTATTTCCCACTCAATCAAGGGCCCACTTAGGCCCATGGATTTCAAGCTCTTCAGCCTCAGGACCTGTTGACTTAGCAAAACCCTAAACAGTTTTGCTTATGTGGGTTATATCTGTCAGGATTTACCATATTAGAAATTAAAAATGAGAAATTGAAAGAGTTAATTCATTAAATTTAACAATAATAAACCTATTATATTAACACAATGTTTCTGAATAAAAAACTATATTTCCAAAAATTAGTGAAAGGAGTGGTGCTGTTTCTTTTCTTTTTTTTTTTTTTTTGAGACGTAGTCTTACTCTGTTGCCCAGGCTGGAGTGCAGTGGCGCGATCTCAGCTCACTGCAAGCTCCGCCTCCTGGGTTTACGCCATTCTCCTGCCTCAGCCTCCTGAGTAGCTGGGACTACAGGCGCCTGCCATCATGCCTGGCTCATTTTTTGTATTTTTTAGTAGAGACAGGGTTTCACTGTGTGAGCCAGGATGGTCTTCATCTCCTGACCTCGTGATCCGCCCATTTCGGCCTCCCAAAGTGCTGGGATTACAGGCTTGAGCCACTGCGCCCGGCCCATTTTTTGTATTTTTTAGTAGAGACAGGGTTTCACCGTGTTAACCAGGATGGTCTCGATCTCCTGACCTCGTGATCCACCCACTTCGGCCTCCCAAAGTGCTGGGATTACAGGCATGAGCCACCGTGCCTGGCCGCTGTTTCTGTTTTTACTAATATCTACAGTATCTGGCTTAATCGGAGATAACTTGATTCTCATATCTGCTTTTGCAGTCTGTGTTTGGCAATACATAGTTTTGGTTGAAGTGTATGGATAAACCCCAGCCTCACACAAATACGCAGCTGGAAAAGGTGGGCGTATCTTGGTAGTCTTTTTAAGTAATTATGACTATTCTTTCCTGCTATGACAAAACAAACAGTAGCTTGTTAACACTTAGTTGGAACACAACACCTGAAACTATAATGAATATTGTATTGAGCTCTGAGGCCTAGGTGGGGGGATCGCTTAAGCTCAGGAGTTTGAGACCAGACTGGGCAACATAGTAGGCCCTGCCTCTACAAAAAATACATACAAAAATTAGCCAGGTGTGGTGGCTTGTGCCTGTAGTCCCAGCTGTTCAGGAGGCTGAGGCAGGAGGATTGCTTGACCCCAGGAGTTTGAGACTGCAGTGACAGACCATACCATCTCTTAAAACAACAACCACAACAACAAACCCATTGGCCTGTCCTGTATATAAATGAATCTTTTTTTTTTTTTTTTTTTTTTGAGACGGAGTCTCACGCTGTTGCCCAGGCTGGAGTGCA